TTTCGCTTCTGAAAAGGTAATAATGTCAATTGACTTTATTTCGCACCAGTATGCAAAATAGTGTCAATAGACCTTATTTCCGTTGATCTTGTTACCTCTAACCATTTTTAAGAACTGTTTTACTACTCACTAACTACACCAATATTTGTGGAGAACTTATTAACTGTCATATCAGCAAGTAATAGTGTTAACTATTCTTTCAAATTGCATTTATCTAACCTTAAAAATGTACAGAAGACCAATGGTCCGCTAATCCTTCTGGTGTAACTTTTTTTATAACCTTACACCAGGTTTAGTTGCTATTCGTAGGTACCTCGTTATTGTCGGGTGGGCTCAGGTTCATCTCCTCTGCTTATTTCAATGCTGTTACCATTCAACAGGGTGGAAAAGTGTTGCCTCTTATCATTTAAATATGTCGGTCATTAGTTCGCCGAGGCCGTTTATAATGAAAAGTTTTTGGAAAAACAACAATAATTCACTAAAGTAGAAGTTTTAGCTGATATTTCGGAGATTACCACATCTTCTTATCAGACTTCTTCATCTAGTTTACTGGGATTTGTACTAGCAACTTCGGCATACCGAGACAGTGTTTACTTTTTTAATTTTCTTCGAGATCTTCAGCGTTAATTTTTCGAGGCTTCAGCAGGCATTTTTCACGACATCTGAGCTTTTTGGGCACTTTTCTGAATCTTTTGGGGCTTTTTTCAGCACTATTGGGGATTTTTTGGGTACTTTAAATCAAAAGTACATTTATCTGTTTTACTTTCTCAAAAAAAAAAAATAATTAAAACTAAAAAAATTAAAGGTAAAAGGCAAAAGTAAACTAAAATTCTTAAATGAAATGCGTAATCGGATGCTCTACGTTAGAAAGGCTACATTTTTGGAATTTAACAGTTACAGTTTACTAATCCAGTCAATAAAAAACCTTTAATAACTTAACTAATTACTAGCTCAATACTAATTGACCTGTATTGATAGTCGATTGCACCAACTGAAACCCCGTTAATGTATATTTAGTATAACAGCATATAAGTAAGGTTTTAAGTTAATCTAGAGAAAGATCAGCGAATATATTGGCAATCAAAAAATTTATATTTTTTTTATCCATAAGTATGTATCTATTTTACTCCCTATTCGTAGCAGAAATACTTGTGAAAAATCAAAACTGTTAAAAAATTTGCGATTTATGTCGCTGCCTTCAGCGCTCTTCTCCCACTTTTATACCGTTTATACTCCTCTGCCATCTCGTATCCTTCCCCAAAATTGCCTTATCCTTTTTCCTCACACATTCCAATACGCTCCTTATACCCATCCATGCCTTTCACTTAACATATATGAACCTCGTATATTTGATTTCAGTTATCTAATTGGATGATTTTGTTCTTCTATTCTTTTACTTTTCGTTTTCGAAAATTATATTAAATATCCACCAAAAAAAAAAAAAAAAAACAAAAAAAAAAAACAATTTTGTCAAATCAAAAATTTGCACAACAACATCATATCTGCCAAATGCCGTACAGCTATTCCAGTCTCTCGCAAGCCATGCACCATAGCAGTAGTCGAAAACGCGCTTTTAGCACACCGCACATAACGCCCGCCATCTCTACGCTGCTCAACATGTCGAACAATGATCGTGGCGCTTTCTTGCTGAACAACACAGATGGCGGCGGCGGCAATAACAACAATTTTGCGCCTGATCAGCTGGTTTACTATATGAAAACCGCTTCGCCGCATGAGCTGGAGAATAGCAGTGTGTCCGGACCTTGGATACAAGGCCGTTCCGACACCAATATCTATACAAATCTTGCGCTCGGTCACAATCGTTACAAGCTCTTGCAAAACTACGATGCCAACGACGAGGATGAAGACGTTGACGAAGATGAAGCAATCGATCAATTCTCGCCTACTATTTACCCAACTAGTCGTGCCATTCCGATACCGCTTAGTGCCGGCAATAGCCCACAACATTTGTCAAGTGGTCAACAAACGCCCCAACTGCCAACTTCACCTACCATCCACGCGGCCTATAGCGCCGGTCCTATGACCAGCATATATCCATACTCGCCCTTCTATGGCAGTTCGCCGGATTCACAAACACCTGTCGGTGGTAGTGTTGGTGGAGCAGCGCCAACACCCATCAGAATGTCGTGCAGCTATGATCAAGCATTGGGCGCGAATTTCAAACGTATGCCTACGATGATAAACCAACAACAGCAGCAGCAACAACAACAACAACAACAGCAACAACAACAACAACAGCAGCAAAGTCGCATTGTGCCACGTGCGCTATCTCTGGAAGCAACGCCGACGGCGGGTAATAGTGGCACCACCACCAAGAATGCAGCAGCCGCAGCGGCTGTGATGTTTGCAACCTCGCCGACCGCATCATTGAACAGGTCAGTCGGACTGCCAATTGTTTGACTGCATCGTGCGTCGTGTGTGTGCCAATTCAATACTACCACATTTTTCTATATTGAATGAATTCGATTAGTAGTCGAACGAAATGAACAAAAAATTTGAAATGATTTATGTACATACGCTGAATGGGGCGGCATTGGCTGTTTGTTCTTTCGTTCGATTTTTTCATCTTCTATTAGTTGCATTACGGTTGTTATTGTTGTTAAAGAGATGAGCTCATTTGCATACCAAAAACTGAATGCACTTTTATTGTTGAATTGGCTTCTAGTCACTTGCATACTCGAACACTGTCTTTCCGCATCGGTTACATCGTACAAGCATTAATAATCCATTCATGAATGCAATTCGACTTCAGCTCACGTGCATATTTTACACGATTGCAGGTTGGCGGTTTTCTTTCATAGTTTTCTCATATATGGTTCATCCAGTTGTTTTTGTATAGATCTGCGTACATAAAGCTTCATCCATTCACGTGCTTTCACGTTCTTCACTGAAATCGCCCATTTTTGTTGAAGCCACATTTCACTTTCTGCATGTTTATATTATTTTGCTCTCTGTCTATCTGAATTTAATAGATTTTTCTTCTTCAATATTAGAAAAAAGCAATAGAGTTTCTTGCTAGCATAAATTGTGAATAACCTTAGTTTCAACGAAAGTTTGGTTTGAGCATGAATTTAGTATGTATATTTAGTTGAAATATATTTTTATAAAATTTTAATACTTACGAAAATAATAATTAGAAATAGAAAAAGAAAAATTAAGTTTCCTGACTTGATTCAAGGGCTAGACAAAATGAAGCTGAAAGTGGTTATTGAACCGCTTTAGTAATGGTAATATACATAGAAAAGTAAAACAAAAAAATTTCGTTTTGGTCGTCATTGCTGTACAGCAGCGATGTGCAGAGAGAGCTTTTACTTTGCACGCGCCCATACAAAATGTATAGAAAGCCCAAAAGAGCTTTTCCCGCGCGAAAGGCGGCTCCCATCGCCGCTGTATAGCGATGAAGAAGGCGGCTTGAAGAGCTTTTCTAAGCTTCAAATACAATTAGTATGTATATCAGTCACACGACTAAAGGCATTGAAAGTTTTCTATTTCGTATGGATTTTATATCGGCTTACGCCTCGTCCCTTACTTTACACTGATCAGAGTAGATAGTGCTTTACACTGTGCTTCCTCTGGTAGACATTTACTAATAATAAAAAAAAAANGGACAATTCTGGCTAAGTACAAGGGCTTTCGTAAGACAATTGAAAGACAGACGGCAAGTTAGTTGGAAAGACTTTTGTTATTCTGGCACAATAGTCTTACAACAAAAAACCTCTCTCATTCAACACTCGTGGTGAAAAGCTATTTTAAGGGATAGCACTTGTATGTCATTTAGCGCTCGTTGCTACAACAGTCGCAATGGCCGAGTGAGCAAAGCACAGGCGAGTTCGAGTTTCGTTTCTTTTAATTCGTATATTTTATTATTTTAAAAGGAAAAACATATTTCCTTTTTTTTAATTTTTAGAAACTTACTTCTTTCTTCCTTTAACAACTTCCCTGTCATATGTGACTCACGAGAGCGTTTTGAAATAAGTTCATGAGTCACATGTGACTCATTTTTGTGTACAATTTCGGACAATTTTTTTGGTGTGAACGGTACGTGATATTTTTTGGACGTGGGGCATTAACAAAATGCATTGTATGAGGACAGGGAAGTTGTTAATAATTTTTTTTTTTCGTTTTTTAGCTTAATTTTCGGCTAATTTTTTAATTTTATTGTTTAAAAAGACAAAATTTATATGTTTTTTTAATTCCATTTAACTTTTACACTTCTCTTTTTTATTTGATTTGTTTTTCCTTCGCTAATTTCGTTATCTTTAAATTTTTGTATTTTATTGTTTTTAGTGGAAAAAATAAATGTATTTGTTTTATTTTATTTTATTCTTAGAGACCTCTTTAATTTTTTTATTTACAATTATTGATTATTTTTCTTTTTTATCTAGTTTAATTTTCTTTTCATTTTTAGATTTTATTTTTTAAAAGGAAAAATATTTTTTTTAACTTAATTCAATTTTTAATTTCTTATTTTATTAATTTATTTATTTCATTTAATTGGGTTTTCTGTGTTAATTTCATTTTCTTTTAATTTTTATAATTACTGATAAAAAAAGAAAATTATGTTTGTTTTGTTTCATTTAATTTATATACTATTTTATTTTTTTAATTCTCTTCTTTTTAATTTAATTTTCTTTTAATTTTATGACTATGTTATAATAATTAAAAAAACACAATTTTATCTTATTAAATTTTTAAATACTACCTTCCTCCTGTTTGATAACATTTTTTGGTTTTTCTAACTTAATTTTTAGATTTATTTCTTTTAAAAAGAAAAAAATATATATATTTTGAATTTCATTTAATTTATAAAAATATTTTTTGATTTATTTTCATTTAATATATTGTAATTTTTTATTTATTTTTCATTTATTTATTAATTTATATTGTTTTAAAAAGCGAAAATAATAATAATGCTAAGACCTTCTCGTTAGCAGATATTTCAATTCGTCTTTCGAAAGACGGTAAAGAGCTTTCAAGATACATAGTTGCCAAAAGTGGCAATTGTGGCATAGAATTTCGACGATTTGCCCTTCTTCGAGATCATTTTGAATCGAACTTTGGTCAGATTTGTCTGAAATATAGGTGAAATACGTTCTATTAACTAAAATTGACGTCGTACTTTAATTGTAAGCTCAGAAAGATTTTTTTCTCTCGTTAAACCCATTTTCCACCAGTAAACGTACGTATAACTTCATAAAAAATCCCATATCTGACAAAAAACATATTTTATTTCAATGCTGCATTGTTACATGTGCCAAGTTGGCCTTTTCCCCCCTACAACAGTCACAGCATAATTTTATGATACGCAACAAAAACTGCGATACCAAGAAACACATGTGGTTAATTGCAAATTTCTTCCCTAGAAAATAACTATTGCGTAGTAAGTAAATGTGTGGTAATTCATACACTTCACAAACAAAGTTTAGTTGAGTTAAAAAGCATGAAGCTTATAAAAGTGTTGAGTCTTACTCAAAACACAAGTAAGAAGCCAAACACACTGCAAAGCGCAAAATTAGAGCAGCCGTTGAAGACCAAAATACTGCATGGCATATCTTTTGTTTCTACCAACAATGTTGCAAATGGTTTCGCTGTTTGCTCCAACTGAAGCACATAGATACATAGTATATGTATGTAGTATGTATATGTACATATGTATGTAGAAAAACAGACTGTTTAAGACTAAAACCATAGTTACCTACAAACAGAAATATTTTGTCTTCATAACATCAAAACATGAAAAAGAAAGAAAAAATAGCGGAAGTAGCATAAATAAGAAATTTTGATAAAACTGGCAATGATGTCATCTAAATTTGGCAAAAGTTAAAATGTGTTAGTGTATTTTTCGCTATATTCAATTTATTCACCACACTTACACATTTGGCACGCTTTCGTCATCGTGCTGTTGCAAATGATTGCTTTGTACTGTGTAATAGCTTATGCTACCAAAAGCCCTACCGGAGGCTTTCGTAACATTCCGAAATAAATTCTACGCATTACATTTCTTTTTTTACCACCCCACCCTCTCAATCACGTATCCACGACGCAGTTTGTTGCTGGTGACTTTTTAATGCTTCCCCAAAGTACATGCTTCCCAAGGAAAATACTTTTCATGTACATAAGTAGGTGTGTATTTTATGTTCATATGTACATACAGGGTGATTCAATAAGACCGGATTATTTTATAAATAAAAGGCAACAAAATTTGTCGAAATGATTTTACTTCATAGATTTTTTTACAGATGAATTCTGGCTAAGATAGTTGCAATGCTTTTGTAAGATAATTTTTTAATTTAATTGGATTTTAAATTTTAGATTTTATTGATTTAAAAAGAAAAATATATTTTTAATTTCATTTAGTTTTTAGAAAGTTATTTTATGTATCTTTTTCTTTTGTAATTAAATTTTTGCCTTTTAATGTTTAGATGGAGAATACTTTTTTTTCCTTTAACTTTTAGGAACTTACAGCCGGTTTCACCAGCAGTTTAAGTGGCAAATGATTTTTTATTTTCTGTCAATTTCTTCTGTCAACCCTTGAATCACCCTATATACTTAACTGTTGTTTATAAATATTTGCCGTTTGTTGTGGCGCATCAAAATAAAAATTTAATAAGTATGACGTGTCCCTTCTTCACTCAGTGTGTCGCAGTTAAATGGCCCCTTCAGGATGATGGTTGTAGGGGTGCGACTTTAAATGAGTTGAATGGCTGCGTTGAACTTAATGCGCTTTCAATTTTATTTTTTTCGTGATTGATGTTTTCAAACTTTGCTTAATTATGGTTGACACTCGTTAGTAGTTTCCAAAATGTGACATAAAGAGTTATTTAAAACATGCAAATGGTTGTATAGCTGTCTAGCTCCTAAGTTTAGTATGTGATTAATTATACTGTTGGCAAAGAAACTATCGAATGCTTAAAAGCAAGCAATAATCGTTCGTTACATATTTGAAGACAGTCCGCAAACTCTAGAGTAGGTGGATCTGTTATCGATGCCTTTAACTGATTTTTAACACCCTTCTCTTTGAAAAGTTCTTGGAAGCATTCTAAACTAAAACCCTTATTCCCCTTCCGTCGGGCAATTTGAGTTTGTCATCGACTTTTACTGATATTTATTTTTTCTTAAGGATCGTAATGTGGATTCATAACATAAAGGATGCCACTTGCGTTCTCGTACGACTACTCACTAATTGACCTTTGCGGTG